CCTACACCGGTTATTTCGACACCAAGCATCGATCTTAATATTCTTTGTAAATTTATAAGTAAGTTTGATGGCAACCGAGAAAAATTAATGCCGTTTATTAATAACAGTAGTAATGCTATGAACCTCGCGTCAGATCAACAACAGGATATTCTTTTAAAATAGATACTTAGTCAATTAGAAGGACGAGCTGAAAGTGCGTGCTCGATTAAAATATTTGAATCTTGTTCACAGTTAGAAGGCTTTCTTAAATCCCCAATTCGGTGACAGGAAACATTATGCTGCATTGCTCTCAGACCTACAAGAATGTCGTCAGTCTAATAACGAAACGGTCAACCAGTACGCCCTGCGAATAGAGACGTGTTTGTCTCAATTATTGACAGAAATAAATATATCAATACCTACTAAAAAAAGGGAGAATTGGCAGGCCGTCTCGCGGTAAATCAGGACTTTGCGTAACACACTTTCGTGGTTGGCTTAAATCCTCGTCTATCAACAGTAGTTCGATGTCGCGACACGCTCAATGATGCTATTAACTTTGCCGTGTCTGAAGAAAAAATATTCCAGGTGACTCGACGCCATCTTAGTTAAACAAATACCCAGGATTCAAACCAAATACGCTTAACTAGTCGTAATTTTCAACAAAACCAAACAACTACGCGAAAGAGGCCTTTTAATAATTCAGCTGGGTCTTCCTCTATGTTCATAACTGATTATCCAGTGTACCGATATTGTAAAATACCCGGTAATACATTAGAAACATGCCGCAAACGCGAGGCCAATAATCGACGACGATTTGGTAACGCTCAAAACAGTTATAGTAATAATAATGTTAATCGCAGTAACTACAATAATAATGGTCCACCGCCTCACACTTTCCCGAATCGTAATCAGCATATCAATGCTGCTATTGCAGGCGATCAAAATGTCGATAACACCAACTATCATTTAAACGCGGAGGAACTAAATAGCAAAGCCGATACTCACCCCATTGCCAATCGTAACACAGCATTTCGCTCATTTTCTATTCCCGTTTCAACTCAATCTAACCGACAGGGTATCCAGCCCCAAACCGACAGATTGCAAGTTAATAATGCTACTCCAATTACCAAACAGCCTATCAACGGCGTCATATCGAAGAGCATTTCGTCTCCTGCACCTGAAAGGAAAGAAAACAATATTAAAATATATAACATCTCTACAAATCCATCAAAAAATACTTACCTTTTATAAAAGTTCAAACTTCTGTCTCGTCGAAGTCGCTCGTCCATACCGGCGCAGCTATCAGTATTATTAAAGATTCTGCTGAAGAAAAGATGCCTGAAATAAACAATAATACTATAGAAATTATTGGTATAGGAAATGACTGTTACATCCCTTGGTCACATCCTAATTGAATTTTGTTCCTACCAACATAACTTCTACGTACTTCCGGCGTTTTATTTGCCGTATGACGGAATCATCGGTAGCGACTTCCTTATCAAATTAAATTGCAAAATTAATTATGACAACAACACCTTAAAAGTAAATAAAGATAAAATAGAACTTTGTTTCACTAAGCCTACTATTGCACCTCGATGTGAAACTATTATAGTGTTCTGTAAGAAATCCGGATATAAAAGAAGAACTTGTTCTCGATCAGAACCCCGTAGACTCGCTCCTAATAGCTAACTGCATCGTAAAAGTGAAATCAAATTCAAGAATTAATATTTGCGTTGTAAATACTTCTGAAAGCGAATTAATTATCTATTCCGATCTAAAACTAACGCTACAACCTTTAGAAAATAAATATAATCATCAAATCTTTTATACTTCTTCAGACGGTTCTAGAAATAACGCCTTTACTCGCACCGATCAAACTCTAAATCTCTTAAGATTGTCACACCTAAATAGAGAAGAGAAAGAAGCACTATGCGACCTTTGCTGTACTTACTCCGATATTTTTCATTTGCCTGGCCTGCCTTTGTCATTAACTAACACAAACGTCTTGCAACACGAAATTCCTACTTCATCTTCTATACCAATTAACACTAAGTCTTACCGCTTCCCTGACATTCATAAGCCAGAAGTAGAACGCCAAATAAATAAAATGCTTGACGACGGTATCATCAAACCTCAACATCATCTTGGTCATCACCTATTTGGATAGTCCCAAAGAAGATCGATACATCCGGGCAACGTAAGTGGCGCGAAGTCATAGATTACCGTCGTCTGAACGACATCACTATTGGAGATTCCTATCCGATACCCAACATAACAGAAATTCTTGATCAGTTAGGGATATGTAAATACTTTAGAACTTTAGATCTTGCTTCCGGTTTCCACCAGATAAGAATGACCGTAAAGGACGCCCTTAAAACTGCCTTCTCCGTACCGCAAGGACACTTTTTTGGGCTAAAAAACGCTCCTTCAACATTCCAAAGGTTGATGAACACTGCCCTATCTGGCTTACAAGGACTCCAGTGCTTCGTCTACCTAGATGATATCGTTATTTACTCATATGATCTTTAAACACACATAAATAATCTTTCTAACGTCTTTGACAGACTCCGACACTTCAATCTTAAGCTCCAACCAGATAAGTGCGAATTTCTCCGAAAGGAAGTATCATATCTTGGTCATATCATTACCAACGAGGGGGTAAAGCCAAATCCAGAGAAAACTAAAGCTGTTCAACAATTTTCCCAACCTCGATGTCCAAAAGATATCAAATCTTTCATGGGATTAGTGTCATACTATCGAAGATTTATACCACATCTATCCAAAATCGCTAAGCCTCTTACAAACCTTCTGAAGAAAAATGTTCCTTTCGATTGGCAAAATGAGCAACAACTAGCCTTCTAAACTCTAAAAAACTGTTTGACTACTGCCAATATTAGCATACCCAGACTTCACAAAACTTTTCGTGTTAACTTGTGATGCATCAAATTTTGCTATTTCGGCCATATTATCACAGGTTCCCATAGGAAATGATAGACCTGTCGTTTATGCTTCAAGAACTTTAAATAAAGCCGAGTGTAACTACAGTATAACAGAAAAGGAATGCTTAGCAATTCTTTTCGGTACTAAAGTATTTAGGCCATACGTATATGGCCGTCGTTTAAAAATTATTACCGACCACCGCCCACTTAAGTAACTAGTTATTTAACTGCAAAGACCCGGTGTCAAAACTAGTAAGGTGGAGGCTAAAATTAGAAGAGTTCGACTACGAGGTCGAATAAAAAAGGGCAAAATTAACGGTAACGCAGACGCATTATCCCGTTTTCCTGTTAATCCGGTTATACAAAATGACGCTATCTCCGATCCGCAACCTTCTACCCCCCACGAAGAACCTCAAACTTCTCAAGATTCTGACCTTCCTTCAGATATTCTCGAAGAACTCATTGAACTGGGTGACTTGGATCTCAGCCCATCGGAACTGCTGAATCCCGAACACACTGATTCAATTCCATTAGACGCAAACTCCCCACAAAATTCCTGTAACGAATCAAATAAAGACTCTGAAAATAACTTGGCCCATTGTAACGAAGATTACTCTACGTTCCTTAAAACGTTTTCTAAAAAGGATGAGACATTTAATACTTATATAAAAGAATATAATGAGAGCCTCTTAAAAAGTAACTGCAAAACAATCTTAGTTCCCGTATCTATCGATTTTGACGAATCAAATCCCTACCTTGAAGATATTCTTTCTGGTTTAAGTGACACAAAGGTCTTAAACGAAGAACGAGAGCTTCACTCGTTTAAAAAGATAGAGACAAAAGGCAAAATTTATTATCTTCTTTTCACAAAGTATATTATTTTGATGACAGCTCCTATCCTGAAATCTTTAAAATCCTAAAAGCCGCAAAGGACGACATTATACTTTCAGGTAATATTAGTGAAATCGCAGTTTCTGATTTTAAGAATCTATTCGAACAACATTCGTTTGTCAAAATATACGGCATGCTTATGTATTTATATAACAACACAAATATCGTCACCTTAGAGTGTAAACCTGCTAAATCCATTTTCTATCACATACGACATTTTGATACAGTTCGAAAGAAAAAAAGACGCTGCATCGGCCAAGTAAAACAACTATATCAAATTATGACCGAAACTGTCGGAAAATCTGCTATGAGTAAAACTGCTAAATCCAAACAATACAAATTTCGCGACTAACTCCAACGTCGCCGCCATTTTGTATAGTGTCTGCCGCCAGCTCACTATTCTACTACAAAAATATTTCGTTTGGATGTGTATACTGTGTTGTTGGAATATTTTATAATAGTTATTGTGCATAGGTAATACTTATCATCCTAATTTAATTTTATTTCTTTTGGAATTTATTGACAACTAAATAAAACGTTATCATTTTAAATTCATAACATTAGACGTTCGTTATTATGGGAGTTAGCAGGTTTTTTTCTAAAGGCTGAACCATTTTGGGACTTAGCTGGTAATTTTCGTGTTGTTGGAATATTAATTTTAGTGATAGTTATTGTGGAAAGTTAATACCTATTAACTTAATTCTGTTTTATATGTCTTGTGGGATTTATGGAAACTAAGTAAAATTATTATTATAAAATTCATAACATTAGATGTTTCGTTATTATGGGAGTTAGCAAGTTTTTTTTTCAAACGGGTTAGAACAATTTTGCGACTTAGCAGGTAACTTGTATAATCTACTTTAAATGTTTTCAGTGACTTTTATTATAATTTATTAGCAAAATTATTATTTAAAAAATATTGACCACTGCTTGTTACAGATGTCTTCCTATCAGCTTTGGCAAGCTAAAAAGATAATTAACTTACTCAACGAAAATAACGCAGAAAATACATGTCAAAATTGATCACCTGAGCAATCTCCTAACAAGGAATTATTATTATCAGATGTTGAAAATGTAGAATTTGAATATCTTAATATTGACTTATCTGACACACTGGAATTACCTACCTTACCTGAAAATTGTCAAATTGTACCTATAACTAAAGCAACAGAGGAACCCATTGTTATTGAAATGACTGAACCTACCTTACTTGAGACTATTAACTATAGTAGCATTACCCCGTCCACATCTGTTACTAGCCATAATAATATAGACAAAGAAACCAATAATGACAGAGTTTCAATTTCTCCGAACCTGTCATTTGCTGATAGTAACGTTCAAGACTTAAGTCATGAAATTGGCAGTCAAAATATGGATTTACATGAAACCTATGTTCAAGATGTTGCGAATAATATAGAAGATGGAAGCAACCACGAATGCTTAGTTCCTTATGATATTCATTCTGACTCTATGTCTGATAGCGATTATCGAGATAAAAGTAAAAAAAGAAAGAAAAGAGCTCAAATGCAAAAGTCTAATTGGTTTGCAGAAAAAAATAGAAAGTTAAGAGAATCTGGAAAAAAATATTATGGCAGAAAAAAGGAAGAAATGTGGAATATTGAAATTCCGAAAGAACCACGAATAATAAAACAAAGGTGTAAATGTAAACAAACTGAACATGGGACTATTAAGTGTTCAAGTTTTACAGAGGAAGACAGGAAATAAATATTTAAAGGATTTTGGAGCATGAGTTGACAAGAGAAAAAGTTTACGTCGATAGTCTTGTAACATCATTGCCAATAAAAAAGACCACGAGGAAGGAAAGAAAATAAAGAATCTAGAAGAAGTCAATCTTTAGTATACTATTTAAAAAAACAAGACGAGCGATTCAAAGTCTGCAGGAATATGTTTCTCAACACTCTTGGTATTGGCAGGTGGACTGTGCTTAGTTGGAAAAACAAGCAATTAAATGGCACAAAACTAAATAATGCCACTAGAACTCGACAAAGAAGGAACGACGACGAAACCGAAGTTTCTTCATCTAAGCCTTTTGCCAAAGAACGCCAAGAAATGGACAGTTTTTTCGATTCATTGCCTATTATGGAATCACACTACTGTCGCGCCAAAACTCAGAAAAAATATTTGCTACCAGAATGGACAACAAAACAATCTCTTTACAGATTCTACCAAGACGATTGGTGTAAAAGTCGTGATGTGAGGCCTCCATCTATAGCAACTTTTTACGAAGCCTTCGACGCCAAAAATCTAGGATTGTACTTCCCAAGAAAGGATCAATGCGAGAATTGCTCTTTGTTCAAAGTTTGAAATTTATCGGCAGAAGAATATTCAGAACATCAACAGAAAAAAGAAGAAGCTAGAATAGAAAAGGATAAAGACAAGAATGAAGGAAAGATTGTGTTCACAGTTGACATGCAAGCAGTTATGATGGCACCAAAGTCAAAAATAAGTAGTTTGTATTACAGAACAAAACTCCAAGTACATAAATTGACATTCTTTAATTTAAAAAACAGAGACGGATTTTGTTACTAATGGAACGAAACTGAAGGAGGACTAAATTCTGAAGAGTTTGCAAGTGTATGGGTTGATTTAATTGAAAATAGGATTTTATCACAAAGTAGGTCAGCAGAAGTACTTACAGTAATTTTTTACAGTGATGGGTGTACTTACCAGAATAGGAACTGTGTGATGTCAAATGCTTTGTTGTTCACGGCTATGAACCACAACATAATCATTGAACAAAAATTTCTCGAGGTTGGGCATACTTAAATGGAGGCTGATAGTATGCATTCCACTATCGAACGAGCACTTAAGAAAAAAGATATCAATGTTCCTGCAGAATATGTTGGAGTCTGTAGGTCAGCTAGAAAAAAACCAAAACCTTATGACGTAACCTACCTTAGTCATAAGTTTTTCAAAAATTTTAACGACGTTCAGTTCTTTAAAAGCATTCGTCCTGGTCGTGGCATAGGTGACGCTAAAGAGACTGATATACGAGCTCTGCGCTACATACCAAGTGGTGAAATATATTTCAAATTGAGATTCCCTTATGAATGGCAAACAATTCCGCAAAGAAAATCGTCGAATGTTGTTCCCTTGCCGTTCACTCAGCTTCGAAATCTCCATGCAACTAGAAGAAAGATTACTGCCAGAAAGTTTGAAGATCTGCAATATTTAAAAAGATCACTTCCTGAGGATTACCGTTCTTACTATGACAATTTACCCCATGACTGAAAAATTACAGTGGATAATATTTTAACGTTCCTAGTTATGTACCTTAACTACCTCTCTTATTAAGTAATGGAAAGATTTATCAACACAAAGTATTGAATTGTTAAATAGTTTTTTTTTGAAGTGCATTTCTTAACTACACCAATTACATTTATTTTTTATTACCCAAAAACCCTGCTCAGTCCATCACAATATATTCAGAACACATACAAATACCTGCTAAGTCACAAAATCGCATATAAAAGAGCAGGTTTAGTTATTTTTTGGTTTATTTATAGTTTTTACAATAAAATATTATAAAATAAATCAACTTTATTTTTGTTTTGTTTCCTAAGCAGCAATTATAAAATATATTAAGTTTTTTGTCTGTCCTGTAAAATTTACTTCAAGTGAGTTAGCAGGTTTACACTCTAAGGTGACGATATAACAATAAATATACATCATAACTCCATAATATACCCTGTACCAACAGAGATATCGAAAATCTCTGTTGGTACATCTAAAAGAAAATCATGTTTTACCAATAGCCGGTCACTTAGGATCAAATAAAATGAATAATAGAATTAAAGAACGTTATTATTGTAAAAACATGCGCGCAGATATAGAGAGGTATATACAAAATTGCAAACTTTGCCAAACAAATAAACCATTACGCAAAATTAACCGGTCTCCTATGCAAATTACAACCACTTCTACTCGCCCATTTGAGAAAATAAGTTTAGACATAGTAGGCCTTATACTCACTCTCCAAGATGATCTAACGAAATTTTCTACAGCCTATCCAATTTCTAACGTCACCGCAGAAGAAACATGCGAAGCTCTAGTTCACTTCATTTCACAATTTGGAATCCCTAAATCAATAATTACCGATCAAGGAACAAATTTTACGGCTGACCTTTTCAAACGCACATGTGAATTTTTAAAAATAAGCAGATATGGTCTTCTCCATATCATCCCCAGACTCAAGGTGCTCTCGAAAGAAGCCATGCCACTTTGAAAGAGTATCTTAAGTCCTTCGTGAACGAAAACCAAACCAATTGGCACAAATACGTCTATACGGCAATGTTAGCCTACAACAGTAACGTCCATACAACAACTCAGTTCACCCCTTACGAACTTCTTTTTGGTCATAAGCCGTATATTCCCGATGATATTTTCGAATCAAGAAGTGACGTAACCTATCCTGATTACATTAAAATGCTTCAGCATCGACTAAAGATTTCTCGAGAGAAAGCCCGACAAAATATACAAATTTCAAAAGAAAGGTCTAAAACATACTACGTCAGAAACTCTCACACGGTCAAATATAAAATAGGTGATTACGTCTATATCAAAAATCATCTTCGTTTTCGCAAAGCCCTCTCCCCTATTTGGGAAGGGCCTTACAAAGTTGTCAAGGTCCACAGTAATAATACCCTTACTCTCCTTATTAACAGGCGCCATGTTAAGCACCACTTCGACGAAGTAAAACTCGCTCATGAGATAAGTTCTTAAATATCAAAATACATTCGTTTTAAAACATATATTCTAACATTTACAATTCATTTATACACTTTTATTTTACATTATATACACGTTATTATACAATCTAGACTTAGTAAGCTTTTAATTATTATTTACAGAACCACCATCGTATTTTGTGCTACTATTCTTGCAACCGGCAATGGTCAATATATTGAACGCATCGACAAGAGCCCTGGTATATTCTTCGACCCCGTTGGTACATTGAGGATAATTAATGATCAATTTCACATCGTTATTCCGGTAGACGTACATCCAATCCGACACCATTTGGAAAACATTCATGAAGTATTTAAAATAATCCAATCCCAGTGTCGTGAGAGTGCCGACATAGAGTATACTCAGTGTGAAAATATGTTACAACCACTAGAAGCACTTTACAACGACATCTTAAGAGACTTTAATGCCATTTCCCATATTATCTTAAACGGTATGTCCAAGAGATCTATCTGCCTGGTTTTCAGGTATTGGCACGGTATTTAAACACATTTTCGGTACACTGGATGAAGATGACGCTGAAAACTACAATAAAGCTATTCATGCTCTATTTAATAACGAAAATAAACTAGCAGAATCTATCAAAAAGCATATTTTAGTTTCTAAATCCGCTATTTCTAATGTTAATAAATCCCTAGAGGAATTAAATGACAATCAAACAAAGTTAAATAGCGTCATTGAACTTTTATCTTCTACTGTTAAAAATGCATCTGAAATGATGAATATACTCAGTTTTCAAACGAAACTATCCAATGTTTTAAATACCTTGCTATCTAATTTACTTACAATGTCTTTCAAAGTTGAAGATTTATTAAACTCAATTTTATTTGTAAAAACCAACACCTTACATCCATCTGTATTAAGCCCAAACCAAATGTATAATGATATTAAGCAACATTCATACTTTAATTAACATTGTCGATTTAGTATGTTATTATTTAAACAATATGCTTATTTTTATCATAAAATTACCTTTAGTTAGTTTGTTAGAATATATTATATATAAGAACTTACCTTTGCCAACTCCACATGCTCAAGATAGAGAAAATCTTTTGCCATGATCATCCCTTCTGAAAAGTTTGTAGCGCTAAGTAAAGACATAACAAGTTATGTTTATCTACAAGATATAAATAATTGTAAAAATATCCCGACAAATACCTACCTTTGTGATGTTATAGATGTAGCTACAGTATCCAATAATGTAGCCTGGGAAATAGAAATTATGACGAAAGCCTTGACATCAATCCCAGATAACTGTCCATAAGTTAAACAATAACAATGGTTTGAACAAAATCAAACCAAATCCACTAAGTTATCAGTGGAGTGTAGTAATAATTTAACCGAATACACTTTATCCGCTACAGGCTTACTCACCATTCCACCTGATTGCGTAGCTTTCCATAAGAATCTAAAATTAGAAACTAAGCTCTACCCTAGTATAAATGTTCCCGGAATATATTCGGATTTTAATATAATTAATGATAGTTGTTGTAAGTTAAGTAACTTTAATAAATTTTCAGTTAACCTTACGTCTTCTATAAATGTAAAAACTTTGAATTTAGAAAATTTTAAATCTAAAACACTGATTCCGATCAGATTATCAAACGACTAGACACCCTAGAAAATCCAAATTTGTATAATGTTAGCATTTGTAAGAGAGGAAAGTCTTTCAGAGAGCATTTTAATTTTAACAAAGAAAATACAGAAAATCATCATCACGCTGATCAACCACAGCTAGGCATAGAGTAGGGGGGGGGGGGTTGTTATAGATCTCCTTTTACTAGGGATCCGCTGACACAAAGCACACAGTCAGCACTCTCGTAGTAGCTTCAGTACTTTCTTATTTCAATACTAGCAATACCGTCATACTCTCTCATCCGAAACACTTGCCTCTCAAATTCAATTCTTAATTTGTGTCTTTCTATAATTAAATCCAGTTGTAATTTCTGAATACTTTTTTTTAAGACATTTCGTGAAGCCCCGTATAACACCTCGCACGAAAGTACGACGTAAACGAATTTTGAATCCAAAATACTCATTAGTGTTTCTAAAATTAATTACTATATACTACAATTGAAAAATAAATAATATAAACTTCACGTAAAAATATATTAATATTAACTTCATGTAAAAATAATTAATATAAACTTCTCGTCAACATAACTGTTGCCTAATTAATAAGCGAAACCAGGCAAGTTTCTACTCGAGGCATAGTCTCATTAAATAATAATAAATATAATAAAAGAAAATAAAAGTCGTTTATTTCGACCATATTGATCATAGGCGTTAGTAATAATACAAATCTTAAATACTAATGTTAGTAAAACTTAAGAATATTTACCTAATTTTAAGACTATAGCAAAGACAGGACCGATTTGTCAGCACGTGCAACATATGACCATGGTTCAGGTACTGACAATCAAACCTGTCAGAAAATGCCCTCAGGATACCATTGGAACCGGCCCGCACCCTGCGCTCCAGGGATGTGCATCTTTTACGCATGGTGGTGTAGAAACAATCCACACGCGCATCCGCGAACATACCCGACGCACTACAATAACGAGGCAGACCCAACAGCACCCTGAATGCATTATTGTATTGAACACGCAGGGCATTATACTGTTTCTGCGTGTAGTCCACCCACAAACTGCTCGTGTAAAAGGAAGTGCAGTAAGCTCTAAAGAGCGTTACTTTAACAGGAACTGAACAACGAGCGAACGATCATGTTCGCTCTAACAGACAATGCCCTGCGCTTTCTCTCTCTATGTCAGCATCATCTTTCAGGTCAAAGATACTATATGACCCAGGTAGTTAAACTGAGACACCCTTCTTAACGGGGTACCGTATAACTTAATGGGTGGTTCATATGAGGGCAAGGCTTTACCTTTAGCTTGAAAGACCATGCATTCGCTTTTCTTGACATTATAAATCAATCCGTGACTGCGGGCGTAGCTCTCACATATGCTCAACAGTTTTGCCAGGCCGCAAACAGAAGCACTCAGCAACACCATGTCATCTGCGTAACTAATGTAACTAATGTTGTTGAGGCATTCTCCGTCAATATGACAACCGACATGTGTGGTGCTAAGCAACTCTATCAGTGCATTCACATAAAGGTTGAAGAGCTTAGGGGAAGTTAAGCCCCCCTGTCGTACCCCGCACTCCAACCTATATGGCTGCGAATAGGTTTCGAACCATCCCACGACATTGACCTGGTTTCGATACCAAAATTTGAAGATCCTAGTAACTTCTTCCGGCAGTCCAGTATCTTTCAATTTCTGCCATAGGATATCGTAATTTACCAGGTCGAACGCCTTGCTAAGGTCCAGAAAACAGGCATAAATAGGCGTTCGTCTAACCGAATAGTATTTCACAGTTTGCTTCAAACATAAAATGGCCGACTCTGTAGACAAACCCGGCCTGAAGCCAAACTGATTGTCGTGTAGATATATATGTTTATCAAGCTGGGCGTTAAGCAAACTGTCAAGCACCTTTGCAATAACCGTGGCAAGTGAGATAGGCTTATAGTTGGACTTTTCAGATATGTCCCCAGTCCTGTTCTTTACAATAGGCACCACCTCAGTTCTCATCAGAGCCGCGGGCAAGTATGAATGCGATATACATAAGTTATAAAACATAGAAAGTAATTTAAGTAAGTGAGGACCCGCATGTTTAAGGTGCTCAATACTAAGTCCGTCATGGCCAGGAGACTTTCCACGTGACATAGAAGCTATAGTTTTATTGACATCCTTCGCTGTAAATCGGATTCCAATCTCCCGGCCACACGTATCCTCATCTCCTATGGCCTGTGATGGCTCCAACGGTGATATCACTGTAAAATACTCTCTAAACATATCCGCTATGAGACCATGATCGTTAATACCATTAACGCTCACTGGTAGGCCAGGTTTACTATTTAAATTATTGGTCGATTTCCAAAAGTTACGAAAATCATTTTTCGCGTACTGAGTAGCCAAAATGTCCATTTTTATTTGATCGATGTGGTTCTGATACAATTTTAAGCGCGACTTAAATAAACTGCAACTCCTATGCATGTCCTCATAGACACTACCATTTTTTGGTTTTCCCCACCAAACCCACATTAAAAACTTCGACCTGGCCTCCCTGTGGGCATCGCGTACATATCTGTTCCACCCAACCACAGGCCGCCTGCCAATGCGCGATTTTACAGTGTGGGATTCAGTGGCAGCCACAGATAAAGAATTTACAATTTCGCTATATAATTTATCGATAAGTAATCTGTGATCAATGCACTTACAAACACATTTACTACAAGAACGAAATTCTTCGGGAAAATCGATAGCTCTTAACTTTTCATGACATAATTTCGTATAAATTCTGATCTCCTCCGGTTTTCTATCTCCCCATAGAATCTCATTAGTCACTTTATATACAAAATTCAACTTTGGTTTGACAATATCCAAATTACATTCTATTACTAAAGGATAATGGTCAGACCAGTAGACATCATACTTAACATAAACATTCAAAATAGACGATACAGCGGATTTCGTCGCCACACAGTGATCAAGCCACGTTCTCGACCCGTGGCTCTCACTTACAAAAGTGTGTGTGCCCGACCTTACACCTAACAGCTATACATCTACACATAACCACTCTTGTTCGTCACAAAAACACGTCAACTCGTCATAAAACCGCTCTTTCGGATGGGCGTTAAAGTCGCCAAGGATGTATACACATTCTACATTACTACTATTAATTATAGCACTCACCGAACTGAGACAATCCGTAAATTCCGTAAGGTTTACCATTTTATCTCTAGGCATGTACACACTAAACACTAAAATGGACCTATCGCCCAGCACTATTTGTATGCCACATATTCGTGGATTATCACAACACACGACCGACACATTTTGGAATAGACTTTTGTCCCAAAGCAGCCCTACACCCCCATAAGGCCGGCCGGAAAACATACCCGCCGCCGTCCATTGCAGACGTGCCCGTGCTGCCGAAACGCTCATCGATCCCGCTGAGCTGAGCTGAAGAAACTGAATATCGTGTCCAAATAACCAAGTTTCACACACACACCTGACCACCGACTGACACAAAAATCGCACATATTCAACTGAGCGTTTTATACTTTTACAGTTGAAGCTAACTAAATTACAGTTGAGACTTTTATCCATTTACAGCAGGGATAGGGCCGTTCACGGTATTCATCGCTACACCGTTCGTGCCACTGCTATTATTTCGCCTGAAGTTAAATCGTCTAAATATAACGCTCTCCGGCCAAAGTGTTGCATCTAAAAAGATTTTTATTTTTCGCTCTGGTACAAAAATTTGAACGCGTTATAGTCCTTGTTTCCTCTCAAAAAAGATATATTTTCCAGTTTAATATTTGCTTGCGTCTTATTGTAAACGTATTCTACAATATCTTTCTCCGTCGTCTCCTTATCCACCATAGTAATAAAAATTGGAACTTTTCTGTCCGCGGCTTTAAAATTACAATTCTGGTCATTGGAAACACCCGTGGCGCCTAGATAACGATACGAGCTCGTTTTAGGTTTCCGACGCTGTACAATATTTCACTCACCATCTGTTTTAGTCACCTCGGCGAACGATAACACACCCGCTGGCCCCGCTGCCCGGCTCGGCGCTGGCTCGCTGCCTGGCTGCGCGCTCGCCGTTTGCATTGACTCATCACTCGCACCGCCCGCGCCAGCGCCGCTACCCTGTTCCGCGCTGCGTGCGCCTATCCCGCTCGAGGGACGTGCTTTGTAACTTCCAAACGCACTACCCTCCATATAATTTATGCTTCTATAGTTTAAATTAAGATCTCTCGGAGATGAAGCTTCTACATCGGAATGCTCGCTGTGATTTGTAATGATCGTATTATCAAGTTGAGACAATGCTATGGGCCCACTGTCTCGATAAGCGTCTCTTCTCATGTTCACCTTTGCAGCTGAGAAAGGCGGCGATGTATTCCTGAGATTTTGGCATTCCGTTTTCACTTTTTCTAGCTGGTCGATAATTACGTATGACGACTTAATGTGTTTTATCTCAGCCTGCACAACAGCTAGGTCCTTAAGTAATTTTGAGACGTCAAGATGATCGAAGGTAATCGGAGGTAACTTATCTAAGTCTCTTGCTACGAACACTGGCAAGACATCAGGGTCGGTGCCCTTAAAAGGCTGATTATATTGTTTAAAAAAACGGTTTTGCTTGCCTTTTCCCTTCCTCTTAGTTTTCTGGGGGAGATCGCAGACAGGCAAGAGGCGCAGATCTTGGGGTAGGGAATCAACGAGTAATTTATTCGCCTGCTCGATCTCCTCAGACGAAAACGTCGCAGCACATATTCTCACAATACTGTCTTCATCCGCACAGACAGTTTGTTCTGTACATAAGATAATAATTCACATATGACGATTCTACAGTTGTTGCACGATAACGTAATTTTTTTTTCAAAACTAGCACTGCCGCCGTACACAAGATACACTTCATACGACCGATCCGAGGCGCGGCGCTCGCGACACTAAACGCAAGGTTGGCTGCAAATTTGTACGCGGAACGGTATCCTGACCGTAGACATCCGAAGTATGAGGCGATTGAACGATTGGATTCTGCCTATAGGAAGGGCAGAATACCTGGAACTCGAGGTTCTCAATCTGGGAGACCGCGAACAATCGAGGACGACGTCGTGCTACAGGAACGCGAAGAGGATCCCTCGACTTCGGTTCGTATGATACAAAGCCGCACTGGAATACTGAAATCATCGGTTTATCGTAATTAAAAAAAAGGTACCGTAAAATTACACAACTATAGTACAGGGTCCCAACTATAGTCCAATAAAACTATCCGACAAAATTGAAGCTGTATGGACGTGTAGCGACATCTCGTTTATTATTTTATACTATTTTCGTTTATTGACGTCTGTTCGTTGTAGTTATATTCATGGACAACAGATGTCTCTCTAATTCAAATTAGTAGACCTTCTTCGATAAAAACCTGTTTGAACATGTTAACTGAATATCGTAAACTTTTATTTGAAAATATTGGTTAAAGTGAAGACAAAGTTTCAGAATTGGATTCATATGATAAGATTCTGGCATTCATTTTACGTATAGTTTATTGTATAAATACACCTATATAAAAAATGATTTTTTTCTCGTAAGTACCCTCTTGGATCTCAACTATGGTCCCACTGGTTTTTTGGACCATTATTAAAAACTAACTTATTTTATTACAGAAAATGTTGTCACGAGATAAGTTGATGAGAAGAAAAGTTGGAGGGAGGGCTTATAAGTGTTATAGTGAACGGCAGCTGGAACTATGTTTATCAGATATAACAAATAAAATTTTAACTCAACGCGAAGCTGCCGAAAAATACAAAATTCCTCGAAGTTCAATTATTTTAAAATTAAAAGCAATACGAACAAATAAAGTTAGACAACCAGGCCATCAACGTATCTTTTCTGATACCGAAGAAACTGCTTTCATCCAGCATGCAATCGAAATGTGTCATTACGGTTTCCCTACTATCGTTTTTGATTAAAGGTGCATTGTAAAAATGTATCTCGACAGAACAGGACGTAAAGTAGACCAATTCCAAAATAATTTACCTGGCAAAACTTGGGCGAATATTTTTCTGAGACTCCACAAAAATGAACTATCTCAAAGGTTTTGTTATAATATAAAGAGGATGAGAGCAGCTGTAGACGACGAGCAGATTCGGACGTATTTTGAGCATTTGAAGGCTTAAATTCAAGGAGTTCCGGCCGAAAATGTTTATAATTATGATGAAACCAACCTTGTTGACGAACCAAGCAAGAAAAAAGTGCTTATGAAGCGTGGATGTAAATATCCAGAAGCTATAAAAAATTCAACGAAAGCAGCCGTTAGTTTAATGATATGTGGCAATGCTGCTGGAGAAATTTTACCACCTTACGTAAACTACAAGTCAGACGATATGTGGAGCACGTGGACAGAGGGTGGGCCACCTGGCACTCGTTACAATCGGTCAAAGTCCGGTTGGTTTGACACTAGTACATTTGAGGATTGGTTCTTTTCATTGGTTCTGCCCACTTTACGTAGGCAAGAAGGGAAGAAGCTTCTCATTGGGGACAACTTAAGTTCTCATATAAATATGGAAGTTTTAAAGGCATGCAAGTCTCATAATATCGAATTTGTGGCTTTACCACCAAATAACACCCACCTTACACAGCCTTTGGACGTGGTCTATTTTAGGCCTCTTAAACTGCACTGGCATCAAATCTTAGATAAATGGAAGGAAACACTTGAAGGACAAAGACTACCCACTATTCCTAAAAACACGTTTCCTACGTTGCTAAATAAGCTGTGGGAAAATATCACGGACAACCATCTGAAAGCTGGCTTTACGAAAACCGGTATTTTTCCGACTGATGAAGCTCCAGTATTATAACGCTTACCTACGTTTAGACATCCAGACGCTCCACTTCAAGTGGTGGAATCAGGCGGTAAATGACGAAAGAAGCTCAATGTACCAGCGGGTAAAAGCATATCTGCAGAAGATATACAAATACAGGCTAGCACATCAAGAAAACCTGAGCATTCCATTAAAAATAAGACAGCAAAAACACCTAAACGAAAACCTAAAAAAAAACATGAAAGATTCTTCGAGTGAAACCGATGACGAAGGTGAAATTCAGTATGCTTCAGACTCGACCATTAATCTCTCTGATGAATTCATCGCAGATAAATCTGCAGCGGCTGCCGTTGATATCCCGAATGCTACGCAGTTTATTCCCAAGCCAGACGATTATGTTTTAGTAGAATATGAAGGCGAACAGTGGCCGGGGCAAGTCAAGACCGTTGATGATGATGGAGCGTTTGTTAGTTGCATGAATCGTTGTGGATTGTCATGGAAGTGGCCTGAGAAACCGGACTGTATATTCTATCCAATGGATAAGATTATTTCGACATTCAAAACCCATCAAAATTGGGCACGAAGCGCGCGTTTTTTCGAGTACCGGAACTGGAGTATAAATGGGGTCAACCAAAAAAATAAATAATTATATGTACCTACCTATTAACCTATTAAGAAAAATATGATTGATTTCATTTCATTATTGTTTCTTTTATACGAAGAAATTTCATTGTCTTTAATATTCCAAAAATAATAATAATTCTATTACTTAAAGTTCAATTTTAACGAATTTTGACGACTTTTGTATAAAAAAAATTGATAAATAAACATATTTCAATTCTTTCTAATTACAGTTGTTTAATTTTATGCTTTTAACTATGATCCAGAACGCCACAATACGCATTTTTAGTACAAATAATAATCCGGTCTAAAGTTGCCAATATAACAGGCAACAAGTTGTTGTTTTACGGTATCAATTTCACCCATTCAAAGAGTGCAAACTCTCCTTGAGGGTGATTATGTAAAACGAGTGCTGTTTTGCAGACGAATGCTGGAACTAAATAGACTGATGAGTCTCAGTGCAGAAGGGACGGATACCTTGACCTACACAATATTCATAGTTGGCAGTTAGAAAACCCGCATGAAACCAGAGAAGACCGTTCACAATACATGTTTAAAATCAATTTACGGACAGGAATCTTCAATGGTTCAATATTAGGACCAGTAGAGTTACCTCCTACATTAAATGGTGAAAATTATTTGGCATTTCTTCAACACCAATTGCCAACGCTCCTAGAGGATGTACCACTACAAACACGGGCAACGATGTGGTACCAAAACGACGGTTGCCCAGTACATTACGCTCGAGACGTTCGAGCCTATCCTGACGACAGGTTCCTAAGAAGGTGGATTGGGCGATTGGGGCCAATCTTATGGCCCCGAGATCCCCTGACTTAAATCCTTTGGATTTTTTATTGGGGTTATCTCAAGGATAAAGTGTACCTAAAACTAATTCACAACGAAAGGGAACTCCGTAACCGAATAAACATAGCGGCTCAAGAGATATCGCAAATAGGTTTAAGAAGATTAAAAAATAATTTTATCAGAAGATGTAGATTATGTATTCAAACTAGAGGGAAACAATTCGAGCACCTGCTTTAATAATTACGTTAATTAAAAATTTCATTTTTTTGGCAATATCCCATAACTAAGCCAATAAGTTCGGCTTTAGCGCTACCTTTAATGATAAAAATGGTAATTCCGACATTTTTTTAAACAATTGATGTAAGTGTTATACCTTTTCTGAATCTGCAGTAATTGAAGCAGTTTTGCAAATTATTTACCAGTTTACGTCAGCACATTTTTTTCACGGTAGGTCATCAAAGTTGGAGTTCAATTTTCTCAAAGGTAAAAACTAATACAAATATTTTTTTTTTATTAAAAATACATTAGATTTTGGGACAAATTTATTTTCACCGCATGGAACTGTTCGAAAAATAAAAAATAAATATAAAAATCAACAACTTTCGAGGTATTTCTAACAACAACAGTAGGAACACTAACTTAAAGTAGAGATTTTTGAGAAAATAAAACAATTGACGATATCTCAAAAACTGAAATACTTTTACTAAGGTCATTTTTTATCTGCAAGGCCTAAGGCTAACCTATCTGCCATGTCACTCTGACGTGATATTTTTAGTAAATTACAAATTACGTGTTACTAAATTATAAATTAATTATATTATATTAAATTATATTATATACATTATTAGATGTTTCGTTTTTTTTTAGGTTATTGGAGACATAAAATCGGGTGGAATGTTATTAACAAATATGATGATTTTACGAAAAGCGTTCTTCAAAATGTGGTCAGAAATTTTATTCTCAAAATGAAATACTTACATTAGATAAAAGCCTGAACATCATAAAGGAAGATTATGATTTCCCGTCTATTTCAAGATCGACACAGTACATAGAACTAAAAAATCTTCCTATTATAAAAGTAGTAGAAACAGTATTTTAGTAGAAAGGCCGGTTATAGTTTTATGGCCACGAAAATATTTAGACGAATGAAAGCCGGCCAGACAAAACGGAGCTGCTATATTTTATTTAGATGAGACGTGGCGTGGGTAAATTCCGGTCATACAAAATCAAAAGTCTGGGTTGACAATACAGTTAATAATTTTTATAAATAAATTAGCACATATCCTATAAAATACACGTTATTTCACTGACTGGTGCTTTGTTATTATTATTGCAGGAAATGTCAAGCAGCTTATAATAGTACATATCAGCAGTATTAATGGGTTTGTAGAAGGACGATTGAAATAGCCAAAATTGGTCATCATGTGTCAAACATGTGATAACCAAGATCGAAACAAATGTGCGAAGTCGACAATAAAGTAGAAAATATGTGAGAGCAGTTAAATTATTCATGTGTCTGCAGAAAGTTCATCAGAAGGCAGTAATGACAAATTTTTTTAAGATTACACGAGTTATATTTAATGAATTATTTTATTCATAAGTTCTTGTGCCTCTCTTCTTCCCCTCGGACCTCTTAGGTGTTCGAACGTATCTTGTACTAAAACTTAATTCAAATAATTTTCCATAAAATACTTAAAATATTGCGCATTTATTCGAGCGCAATAAATAGGAGTGCATGAACGCGAGAAGGTGACATCAGTGACTGCTTATGATATGCGCCGAGTGAACCAGCTACGCTGACTCATCACTGCGACCCGCCGCGCAAACGCCGCCCACTACAGCTTGCTGCCCGCCTCGGGAATTGTAACACTGCTTGACCAATACGCTCCGCGCACTCCGTCAACTTGCTGCGCTGAAGACGGCAAGAAACCTTCCGCTCTTGTGACTCATATCCGGTACACTTCTGTTGCCCTGGTATAAAATGACTGAGCGGCGTAGCGAACACATGGGACCCAGAGTTATTGCTGTGCGTCTCGGTAGATGAAAAAACTCTACCAAATTTTATTACACAACGTACACAACAAAGACTAATCTAATTCATAATTCGGATTACGTAAGACGGGATCAATTTATGAACCTAAAAGCAGAAATGGCTAAGCTAATGGCAAAATAATACATGAATATGTATATATATATATATATATATATATATATATATATATATATATATATATATATATATATATATACGATATACTTACTTACTCGTATAAAACAAGCTGGAGGATCTGCATATCTCCACCCGCCAAACATCATTTAACAGCATTTTCATATATATATATATATATATATATATATATATATATATATATAAACTAACTCTGCATTGTTAAAAACAAATTTTATGGCATCAGTTATTAGCAGAAGCAGAACTTGAGCCAAGATATCTCTAGAGGGACGGATAGAGGAAATACATCAGCAAAAATCCCAAGATGAACTTTCCACTCCAAGCACTTTACAAAACTCAACCCCTCAAAAACAAAGCAAACGTACGATTTCGAAGAAACGGCGAAATGTAGATATCCCACAAAAAGCACAAAAAAATAGACAACCACCAGTTTCTTGGACGATTTTCATAATCCACTATTTTTTATAATTGTTTTATGATGAAGAGGTAATAGAACTACTGCGGTCACAAACAGAACAAAATGCAAAAGAGAAACGACATGTCAATTCCAAAGTTAGTTCTGGCGAAATCAATCGATTCATAGGTATTCTATTGTTGTCTGGCTATTGTATTATCTTTTGTCTTGTTGTATTTGTGTATTGTCTTGTCTTTTGTCTTTTTTTTTAAAACGTTACCCCTACACTAGGATTTTCTCCTGTATCAGTTTGTAGACAGTTTACAAACATAAATTGCACAAGGACAAACATCCAGACCCGGAACAATTATTTAAAGGCCATACAAATACTTGTTCCGTGCGGGATTCGCACCCGCGACCCCAAGCGCAGAAACATATTTCTAAGCCACTGCGCCACGGAGTCGTATTGCTCGATACAGAATTTATTAGAAGCAAAACATTGAAAGTCATCATCCTGGTGTAGCAGCAGCTTGTATGTCAAGAAATAAATTTGAAGAACTACTGCGATTTTATCACGCATGCGACAACACTAACCTACAAGCAGGAGAAAAAATTTATATGTTACGCATTTTTGGAATCACCTCAATCAAAGATGGCTCAAATATTTTCCAGGCGACAGAAAATTGAGTATAGACGAGTCGATGGTCCCATACTTAGGAAAACATCCCACTAAACAAAATATTCATAGTAAGCCTATGTAATATTCGGTTACAAAGTAGGGGTTATTTGTACTCTATTGGGTTACCTAATTTATGGAGAAGAATATTAAGGAGCTATCACTTAAAACGCACATCTATTCTTTGTAGTTGGCGCAAATGTAGTTCTTGATTTGATATCAAATCTCGTAATTACAGCTTTTACATGGAAAATTTGTCTACCAAAATATCTTTGTTGGCGGAAATAAAATCTTTAGGACACGATGCCACTGGAACTATCCAGAGAAATAGAGTGAAAACGCACCGCTAAAAGATTCAAAAGATATGAAAAAAAAATGAAAAGAGTTTCATAAAATCAAACCACAGATGTGTCACCAGATATTTCGTTACTAACATACAACGATAACAATATCGTAACAATAGCGTTACTGGAGTGTGGACTGGGACTAGCGACGCTGTTTTATAAATTAGAAGAGATATATGTGAGGTGTCGATCGATCAGATCAAAATGTTGGTTGTTATAGAATCGGCATAAGATTGAAGAGATCGTACGATCGTACTAGCAACAACTCATATTTCCTTTCAACGTAAGTATAAATAATGCTTACTAGCTGTACAGGTTCAGCGTCCAAACTGGTTTGCAGTTCATTCTAAAACGAATGAGAACCAGTTTTATATATTGAGATTGATCTATTGAAATCTCATGTTTACAATATTTTTGAGTTATTCTAAAACCAATACAATTCTTTGGTACACCCAAATCCTTCATAATGATTTTTTTCTTAATCTTTTCTATAATCATGAGTAATGTTTTTTCATTACTGAAAAATAAAGTAAGTCATCAACATATACTGTAATAAAAACCTTATAATTTAAATTTAATATACGGTAATAATCACAAGAATCTGTCCTTGAACAAGTCA